TCTTATTCAGTTTATAATGAAATCAGTAAAATACAAGTGTCAGAGAGAAGAGGCACTGAGTCCGTCTTCACTAATCTTTACAGGTGGTGGGTTTTGTGGTGGGTAGGTGATGTGCTCCCTCTAGTGGACACCCAGAATAATTTCAGTAGCTAACCTCAGACTATTTTATTTGTATAGCCTATATTCAAAAATCACAATTTATCTCATAAGGTTTTAACAAGGTGTGACATCCTCTGTTCTTAACCCTCAAAAAGAGTAAAGAAAAACTACCACGGACTACCCCAAGGAAGGACTAAGGGGTGAAATGGGATTGGGCCTTAGACTCATAGATAAACTGTAACCCTAACCCAGCAACAGTCTGAGCTTTGTATGTTTGTCATGTGAAGAATTAATGACTTGACACTTTGTTTGTGTGAAGGTGGAGATTCTGCAATGAGTTGCTGGGAGAAGGTGGAGGAGGGAACTCCTCCCTCTAAAACCTGCAGAGAGACTGAAGCTCACAGGTGAGAGGAGGATCTTAGACCCTGTTCACATCTGCTATAAAAATTCATGCTGAGTGATGTGGCACATTTGACATCTGGTCACTCTGACCAGCTAAAGACAATTTCGTCTTGTCTTCACGAAGAGAAATGACGTATGTTTGCATATTAAGCGTGAATGCTAATGGAGGGCCTGAGTGTCAATGACTAAACTCCACTGTTCATATCAACTGTAAAAAAAAGATATACAACATGACAGCTCCCTAAAGTGAAGCCAAAGCATCTCAATTCCCCCATAGTGGTTGACTGCAGTACAGATCATAATCTTCCATCCACCTCCATGTTAGCAGATGGGACATGAATGAATTGACAAAAAAATCAATGTACACATTTATTGATTTTCATTTATCAATATTCATTAATCGATAAAAGCAGGCGGAGGCCTCGTAATTTACAGCTGAGACTGACTCCTATTACTACTGCAAACACACACCAAGATATTTTAGCTTCATTTTTTAACATGGGAGATGCATCACTCATCTTTACATACAGTTTATGGTTCACAATAAGAATGATGTGTTGTGTTGTTTTATGTTGTGTTGTAGTGTGGAGCAGCACCAGAATTTGTTATTTGCTGAACAGGAATCCAGTTGTCACTCCATTACCCGATCCTTGGATCCACCATTAAATTTCACAGGACAATTTCCTTCAGAGACTCAGTAAGTTAACACAGTTAAAGTGACAACTTTATATTCTCTGCAAGTTTTACCAGTTTTTTACTGATATTTATCATTTGAAACAACATTCTTTGTTGCGTTTTTGTGGGGAGCAGGTAAGGGAGTGGGTGGACCCAAAAAGGCAGAACAAAAGGTTTCAACTGAAAGTGTCCTTTAATGAGGAAGGCAGGGAATAATAACAAAAATAACAAAGAACTCAAAAATGCTCTTTAGGCAAAAACAGGGGAGACACAAGTTAACACTAGAGACTTACTGGAAACAACAACGACACATGGACATGGAAACGGCATCTCACAACAAGAACTGACAAAGACATAGGGAAGCACAAAGACACACTGAACTAATGAGAAACTAGAGACAGGTGGCACAGGACACTCAGGTGAGCCTGACGAGGGCAGGAAGTCCAGGGGGAAACACACAAGGAGCAGAGACTACAAAATAAAACAGGAAACAGATGAATACACTGAGAGGGTCACTGAGAGGGACACAGAGTGGGACAGAGTGGGACACAGGGAGCAAACTTAAAACACAATTCCAAACATAATAAAACATAGTCCATGGTGGATCACTGTGGTAACCTGTACTGCAGTGTTCACCTGCTCCAGAGCGGACCAACTTTAGACGGCCAATCAGATTACAATAGATTGTATACTCTGCAGATGGTTGCACAGCGATGGTAAAAATAATAGCTGGAATATATTTTCTTGAAGCAATGACAATGTGGAACAGTTAACTTTGAATTCATTATCCATGGCACATTCACCACTTGTAATCAAGGCTGATGCAGTTTAGTTTATCTGAAAGATCGTCACATGAAACGACACAAGAAATTAAGCATCTTGTAAATTCATGCAGGACATGGTGTCATGTGCTCAGCTGTCATAAACTGTCAGCTACTGATAGGTTTATGGGTGCTCGTCAGTCACTAACCAAACACAGCATATTCTCTCAACAATGCGGTCTCTTTAAATACGACCTCATCCTCATTAATCCCTGCTTAGCTACACTGCCACTCATGCCCTGCTGTCAGTAACTTGTAAATTCGTGAAGCACGATTATGATTGCTAAAGCGTCATTTGGCATCGTCACTCTACTCACCTTCTCCACACTCATCATGCCTCATCTTGGGACAAACGAAGGATCCCTCATCGAAGAAAACCGCATCTTCAAACTCAGGATGATGACGAAGGGTCCGAAGGAAGAGCAGAGAGAGCTGCAATGTCCGCCGTTGTTCTCACCTAGCAGCAGAATATCCTCCATTTATTAAAAAACTGGCCAATGGATCTATAGCTGCAAAATCTCTGTCCCTCTTGATGCCAATCACAAATAACTTTTCCAGTTGCTGTCACAAACTTTCAAGAAGAGGATAAGGCTGCTTTTCCCCTGTCACTCCTCCCTCCACCCTTAAGAAACCCACATCGAAGAAGAAGCACACTGTTGCAGACTCTGCTAAAGCCGGTGCGGCTGCTCAGGCTAGCATCCCTGCCAATCAACATTACGCTGCATAGAATTCTGGGAACTTCAGTTCCTACAACTTAACCGGGAGTCCCATTCTTCCCACCCACTGCTGTGGCGTCACCTCAGCGTCACAATGAAATCCTCACAGTTATTGTGGAGATGGCCACCCCAGGCCTGCATGCCCTCACTGCACACTCTTAAAAGATAAGTGGCTAATGTATCAGAGCTTGGCAAAGCTCTACAGAAGAACCCAAATCATTGTTTTGTTTGGTCAAGGTTTTCTGGCTGGTTCAAGAGTTGTGCCAATAGTATCCCATGCCTATAATAATCTCTTATCAGCTTTGGAAAAAAAAAGAACTTTTTAAGGAGATGGAGAAGAGCTGCATGAGGGACCCATCTGATGATTCTCCATTTCCCATATTATGCATAATTCCTATCAGCATAGCAACCTCAGAAATATGAGGGTAAACGTTAAATAAATAAATTGATAATAAATTAAAAAATGAATAAAATACATTTCATAATTGATCTGTTGGCCCTGTCATTACCATGCTGCTTCCAGCATAAATAGCCCAAATTGCAGTTCTTCTTATACTATGCAACTGTTAATAAAGCAACACCTTTTTGGTGTATGTCGTACAGCAGCCCCTGCATTTTCAGTATTCTTTCAGAAACCCTTGGTTGGATATTGCTCAATAATAATTGCAACTTGCATTTGTTATCCACCTACCCAACGATTTTCAAGAAGAAAATCGCTCCTCCCCCCAGGTCAGCAGCAGGCTTGCTATACTCATGTCACATAATAGTAGTATACCGTTTTGCAGAATGCATGCTTGCAGTCCTTAGCAAACAATTTTCAGGTCTGCAGCATGCTTGCTGCTACATATAGATATCATTATTTTAGCCAGGCATTAGGTTTCCATTGTTTTGGGGTTCTGCACATGTTCCCTGTTTTATCTTAGCATGCTGCTTGGTTAATCCAGGGAACATTCAAAGAATGGAGCCTTCAGAGCCAATCATAACTGTATTCCCATTGTGCAATAAATGGGTAAATAATGACAGTGTTATGATTGAAATATAATAAATCCAATGTAAATCTTCACAGCTCTCTGTCTACAGTCATACTGCCACACATTTTTAACAGGGGAGTGAGAAGTCCTCCAACCAGAAGGTTGGCAGTTTGATCCCCAGCCTTACCCAAGTGTCCTTGGGCAAGATGCTGAACCCCGAAGTGCCTCTCATAGAACAAAAAGTGCTGCTAATAGATGCACTGTATGAATGTGTGTGTGAATAGGTGAATGGAAAAATTTAATGTAAAGTGCTTTGAGTGGTCATCAAGACTAGAAAAGTGCTATATTAATACAAACCATTTACCATCTACCATTAGCTAACTGGTGTCCATTACTCTAATCAATCCTGACCACACCCATCCTAACGCAAACACTCACATTCTCTTTCTGATTGGTGCTCATCAGTCACGTGACTCGACTACCAGCAGCAAAAACAAAGCGCCGCTAACACTTCTTGTCAGTAACAGTTCCACCTTGTTGTCGCTCCAAGAAAAGAAATCCCTGCTCTTACTTTTCACCATCACTGTTCTCCAGAGGATTTTCTGCAACTAAGCAAACTGCATCGGAGACAACCTACTTCCTGTTTACATCACATAACAAGTGTACGTGTATTGTCACATGATTTGCATTTGTGTTGTGTTGTTTTATGTTGTTTTGTAGTGTGGAGCAAAACCAGAGTTTGCTCTATGCTGAACATGAATCCAGTTGTCACTCCATTACCCGATCTTTGGATCCACCATTAAATTTCACAAGACAATCTCCCTCAGAGACTCAGTAAGTTAACACAGTTAAAGTGGCATATATTATATATTCTCTGCAAGTTTTACCAGTTTTAGACTGATGTTTTTCATTTGAAACAACCTTTTTTTCACATGGCATATACATGACGAGTTTACATGAATGGTCATGTCATATAAGTTTCCTGATGTGTTTGTATGGACAAGGATTCTTACTGATATAGAGCCAAAATGCTTTTGTGGACAGAGATAGTTTTAGAAAAATCTGTTGTAAATTAAACATATTATTGTTGGTGTAGCCATAGATGTGCCAAAGCACAGTGACCAAAATGTCCTTTTCACAGTCCAGTTCAGAATCCTGAACCTCAACGTACTTCTTTCAGTATTTTTGACGTGGTGGACGGCGTGGTTTCTTTCAGACTTGAAGTATGAGATATCTTTTTTGTTGGGCAGCTTCTTAGACTGATTTAAATGGGGCCGAGCGTTAATGTCAAAACTGAGTCACAGAATCGTACTAATCCACAAAATGTATTTTATTTTACTTTTTAGTCCAGTGTGGTCTTTCCTTTTGAGAACAGGATTCATTAATTTCACTTTCAGATTTTGTTAAGTTTCCTCTCTAAACCCTACGTTCAGACTCAAATACCCCCAGAAGCAGTGTGAGGAGAGGAGCTAAAGCTGAAGTGTAAGAAATATGTTCATGCAACAAAATAGAGCAAATAAACTGTTTAAGCACAAGCAGAGCAAAAATGTAAGCAAAAGCAGGGGCTATTGTGAGAGTGCAGGGTTTTGAGCGAGCACATTGGAAGGTGAAAATCAATAAGTCAGATCAAATCAAATTTTATTTGTATAGCCCAAATTCACAAAACACATTTTGCCTCAGAGGGCTTTACAATCTGTACAGGTAGTGACGCCCTCTGTCCTTAGACCCTCGGTTCAAGTGAGGAAAAACTTGCCCACAAAAAAAACCCTTTTAACAGGAGAGAAGGTGGAAGAAACCTCAGGGAGAGACAGAGGAGGGATCCCTCTCCCAGGACAGATGGACGTGCAATGGATGTCACGTGTACAGAACTACGCAACAGAAACATATTGTGCGAAACATAAGTCCTGCTCTCGAACTGAAAGACCTTGGAATAAAGAGAGGAAAAAAACTCCTGCCTGGTTTTGGAGACATACTTTCTGTTATCTCCACAGAGATCTGCTGCAGTGGTCAGACGTTCTCTGGGATGAGTCCATGCAGCAGCATCCAAAAGACCTGGAATCCATATTTAAGGTGTGTGAATGCCCAACAAGTCTGACCTTATCAAATCAAACATGCCAAAAAAATGTAATATTTAATTTTCAGCATCTTGAGGAGAACATTTTCATGTTTGAGAAGAATGAGCTGAAGAAGTTCCAGAAGTTTCTGAGTCTAGATTACACAGAGCGGTCAGAGTTTGAGGAGGTGGTGGAAGATGAGGGGAGAAAGAACATCAGTGAAGCATTTCTGAAGATCACACAACACTTTCTAAGGAAAATGAAGCAGGAGGAGCTGGCTGACTGTTTGCAGAGCAGTAAGATTTTCTACACTTACTTTTCTCACATCTTCATTGACTTCCCACTCACGGTTTCTATTTGCTGTGTCTTGATACAGGAACTTCTCCTGCAGCTTGTCAACGTCAGCTCAAGTCTAATCTGAAGAAAAAGTTTGTGTTCGAAGGATTTCCTAAAGCAGGAAACCCAGTCTGTCTAAATCAGATCTACACAGAGCTCTACATCACAGAGGGAGAGACTGGAGAGGTCCAGTGGAAACATGAGGTCAGACAGATTGAAACAGCATCCTGGAAACCAGAAAGACCAGATACAAGGATCAGACATGAAGACATCTTTAAAACTTCACCTCGAGGAGACAAACCAATCAGGACAGTGATGACAAAGGGAGTGGCTGGCATTGGGAAAACMGTCTTAACACAGAAGTTCACTCTGGACTGGGCTGAGGGCAAAGCCAACCAGGACACACAGTTCACATTTCCATTTACTTTCAGAGAGCTGAATGTGCTGAAAGAGAGAAAGTACAGCTTGGTGGAGCTCGTCCATGACTTCTTCACTGAGACCAAAGAAGCAGGAATCCGGCGGTTTGAAGAGTTCCAGGTCGTCTTCATCYTCGACGGTCTGGACGAGTGTCGACTTCCTCTGGACTTCCACAACACCGAGATCCTGACCGACGTTACAGCGTCCAGCTCAGTGGACGTGCTGCTGACAAACCTCATCAGGGGGAAACTGCTGCCCTCCGCTCGCCTCTGGATAACCACACGACCTGCAGCAGCCAATCAGATCCCTCCTGAGTGCGTGGACCGGGTGACAGAGGTCAGAGGCTTCACTGACCCACAGAAGGAGGAGTACTTCAGGAAGAGGTTCAGAGATGAAGAACAGGCCAACGCGATCATCTCTCACATCCAGASRTCACGAAGCCTCCACATCATGTGCCACATCCCAGTCTTCTGCTGGATCACTGCTACAGTTCTGGAGGACGTGTTGAAGACCAGAGAGGGAGGAGAGCTGCCCAACACCCTGACGGAGATGTACATCYACTTCCTGGTGGTTCAATCCAAACAGAAGAATCTCAAGTATTGTGGAAGAGCTGAACAAGATCCACATTGGAATGCAGGAAGTAAAAAGATAATTAAGTCTCTGGGAAAATTGGCTTTTGAGCAGCTGAAGAAAGGACATCTAATTTTCTATGAATCCGACCTGACAGAGTGTGACATTGATATCAGAGCAGCCTCAGTTTACTCAGGAGTGTTCACACAGATCTTTAAAGAGGAGAGAGGCCTGTACAAGGAAACAGTGTTCTGCTTCGTCCATCTGAGCGTTCAAGAGTTTCTAGCTGCTCTTTATGTCTATCAGACCTTGACCAACTCTGGTGTCGATCTCCTGTCAACCCCTCACTTGCATGAAAAATCAAAAAATAAAGTGACACTAACACATCTCTACTTGAGTGCTGTGGACAAGGCCTTACAAAGTCCTAATGGACATCTGGACTTGTTCCTCCGCTTCCTCCTGGGTCTTTCCCTGCAGACCAATCAAAGTCTTCTACGAGGCCTGCTGTCACAGGGAAGAGGAAGCTCACAGACCAATCAGGAAACAGTCCACTATATCAAGAAGAAGATCAGTGAGAATCTGTCTCCAGAGAAAAACATCAACCTGTTCCACTGTCTGAATGAACTGCAGGATCATTCTCTAGTGGAGGAGATCCAACAGTCCCTGAGATTAGAACGTCTCTCCACAGAGAAATTGTCTCCTACTCAGTGGTCAGCTCTGGTCTTCATTTTACTGTCATCAAGAAAGGATCTGGATGTGTTTGACCTGAAGAAATACTCATTTTCAAATAAGGCTCTTCTGAGGCTGCTGCCAGTGGTCAAAGTCTCCAACAAAGCTCAGTAAGTGCACAGAAAGCTGCAGATACTTACAGTACCATTCACATATGAGCCAGTGTTACTGGTACCTGGACTTCGGTCTGGGTACCTTTTTTTTGCTAGTTCACTCTGTCATTAAGTAAAACTTGATTTTTTTGTGTTCATCACCACTGCACTGGTTGCACAGTGAATATTGTAATATTTTTTAACATAAATATTGGAAAAGTACCTACATTTTGTTATACCTTGCAACACTAGCTTTGACCTCTGGCCAACTTCGCATTTCACATCACAAACATTGCAGCAACTTTTAAACCACAATTGCAATTACTTTTGGCTCACTATCATTCTTACTTACTGTGTAGACTTGTTAGCCTCTTCTACTTCAGCTTATAGGTGCAATACTGCAACCTAATCATCTGGAGTGTGGGGTTACTCTCTCAGATTCTGAAATTTGGTAGTTTAATTTAACACAAATCTGTTCTTATTACTACAAATGTAAATTTGCCCCTACCGTAATCCGAACAGTGAATACACTGTACAGTCTACACTGTACACTCAACTGTAGTAATAGTTTGCAGCTATCTATTGATTAAAAGAGGAGATTCCAAATGTGTGATTTTCTTTGTACTTTGAACAAATATACGTTTTTGTATTTTTAATGAATTCTCCTTCAGGTTGAGTGGATGTAAACTCTCACAGCAAAGTTGTGAGGCTTTGTCCTCAGTTCTCAGCTCTCAGTCCTCCAGTCTGACGGATCTGGACCTGAGTAACAACGAGCTGCAAGATTTAGGAGTGAAGCTGCTGTCGGCTGGACTGAGGAGTTCAGACTGTAAACTGGAGACTCTCAGGTCAGATAACACTGATGTTTTCATGTCACGCTGTGTTTTACCTCAGCTTTATCCAATGTTCTATGGTCAAGTTTTTGCTCTGAAACTTCCTCTTCCTCCTTTTCTCAAAACAAGAAACAAAAGCATTCAAGCCACACTCACAAACTTTGACTTGTCTTGCAAAATTAAAAATGGTATTAATAACGTTTTCCTCTTTAGTTAGAGACAGAGTAACACACAAAGCCAGCTAATGCAGAAACACTACAAATGCAAAACAGTGCACTTATTAAAGAAAATCTTACTGATCTTACAAAAAAATATTTTTATTGTAGTATATCTGAACATTCCTGCCTTTAATAGATCTAGTTAGAATAGATCCAATACATCCTATATCATCACATGGTGAGATTTTCTTGGTTATCAGGGTTTCTGGCATTCACCTTCTACCATAACACTGTGAAAAATGATTCTATAGGGTTTAGGAAGGGAGAGTATGCGGAAGGCAAACATTGAGAAAATGCAGGTTACTGATGAACCATTCACGTCTTCTTTATCCACAGTGAAAGCTCATGTTATCCCAAATGACAGCATCAATAGGAAGCTCTGCTCTTTTCTGAGCTAACCATCCTATAGACCTTCAGAAATATTGATGACGTTTAGTGTTGTATGGTCCTAAAGTAACATGCGTTCAATTATGAGTGGTTGTGATAACCTTTGTGTCTGTTTGTGTCAGTCTGGGTCAAAGTGCACCACACTAGTGCATACAGTATGTTAAGTCAATGAGAACATGTTTAGAGTTTGTAAAATGGGTGATTCAGATTCGCAAAGTGTATAACCAGATTAAATTTGTTTACAGTTTTTCACTACATGATTGATTTCGAAAAAGCTGTTTTGCCAGTTGACAGTATTGTTTACATATCATTACATCACATTTCTATGAGCTGTTCTTTTATCCAAAGCCACTTACAACAAATGTATCAACCATGAGGGAACAAACCCAGAACAACAAGAATCTAGTCAGTAAATTAGCTTTAAAAAATACAACTACAAAGTGCTACATGTAGGTGCTACTAAACTGCATTTCTTATTTTTTTTAATATAAACACCAGAGTTGACAATGGTTATTAGATGTAATCTTCTTACCAAGGTGTAGTTTGAAGAGATGTGTCTTAAGTCTGTGGCAGAAGATGTGTAGAGTTTCTGTCCTGTGGGGGGCTAAGGGATGGTTCAGGACCTTTTCCAGAACTATAGGCTTTATCAAAAAGGAACATTTTAAGTTTAACTTATGGTGTTAGACTCTAGAACCCAGAGTGGGAGCTGGTTCCACAGGATAGGAGCGTGGTAGCTGGAGGTTCTACCTCATTTTGGACCAATTGGAGACTTTTAACAGACTTCCTGGGACATCCTGATAATAAAGAGTTACAGTAATCTAGTCTAGAGGGAACAAATGCGTGGACTAGTTTTTCAGCGTCCTTCTGAGACAGGATGTTTTTAATTGTCTTAATATTGCACAGGTGGAAGAAAGCTGTCCTAGAGACTTGTTTCATGTGTTGGTCAAATGTCCTGGTCCAACATAACTCAAGGTTCCTCACAGTGGAGCTGGAGGACAAACCGACACCAAGGTGACTCTGTTCAGACAGTGATTCTCTGAGATGTTTAGGGTCAATTACAACGACCTCAGTCTGAATTAGAAGTAAGAAGTTCTGGCTCATCCAGGCCTTGATGTTCTTGAGACGTTCCTGAAGTTGAACTAAGTGATTAGATTCATCAGGCTTCATAGAAATGTACAGCTGGGTGTCGTCTGTGTAACAATGGTAGTGTCTGTGGAGCTTTCTCATGATGTTGCCTAAGGGAGCATATATAAGGTGAAGAGTATCGGTCCAAGGACAGAACCTTGTGGAACTCCATGACTAACTTGCATGTGCATGGGGGGGGGGGGGGGGGTCATTGTTGACGTTGACAAATTGAAATCTATCTGATAAATATGATTGAAACCAGTCTGATGTTCCTCTGATCCCTTCATGTTGTTCTAGTCTCTGTGATCTTATGATCTATGGTGTCAAACGCTGCATTAAGATCCAACAGGACGAGGACAGAGACAAGTCCATCATCTGAGGCCATGAAAGGGTCATGAGTGACTTTTAACAGCTGTCTCTGAGCTGTGATGGATTCTACATCCTGAATGAAAGTTTTCCAACAAACCGTTACTATCTGAGTCGTCACACAGCTGGTTAGCAACAGCTTTCTCTAGGATTTCAGAAATGAAGGTTTGATGTGGGTCTGTAATGAGCTCAGACTCTGGATCTTTTTATCAGAGGTTTAATTACAGCTGCTTTAAAAGCTTGAGGTACGTAGCAGGTTCACAAAGACATGTTAATCCGATTTAATATGGAACTGTCAATCATGGGGACACTTCCTTAAAAAGTCCAGTCGGGACAGAGTCTAAAAGACAAGTTGTTGGTTTACATGATGAAACTAATGAGGTCAGTTCAGAAGGTCAATAGAAGAGAAATGGTTCAAACATAAATCTGGTTCTATGGTTCCAGGACCAGACAATGTATCTGTGCTCTTCATGGGGAGGAGGTGGTGGATCTGATCCCTGATGGTTATAATTTGATTTGTGAAGAAGCTCATGAAGTCATTGCTTCTCAGAGTTAGAGGAATAGATGGGTCAGTGGAGCTGTGACTTTCTGTCAGCCTGGCTACAGAGCTGAAGAGGAACCTGGGCTGGTTCTGACTTTCTTCTATTAATAGTGAATAATAAGAGGTTCTGGCATTTCTGAGTGCTTTCTTGTGATTCATCAAGCTATCTTTCTAGCCAGGTGACAATCACATTGGCTGGTGGAACGCCACCTCCTCTCTAGCGTCTGTGATGTTTTAAAACACGTGTTTGAGAATTATACCACGGAGCTGATCTCCTCTAATTTACCTTCTTCTTTTTTAGCAGTCGACAGTGTCAAGGGTTGTTTTTAATGAGGCTGCTGTTCTATTAACTAAGTTATCAACTAATGTGGGAGTAAAGTTTTGATAACGTTCCTGTATTGTACTGACACATGGCTGAGAGGTAAGTGTAGAGGGAAGCAGTTCTTTACATGTGTTCACAGTTTTATCAGATAAACACGGACTATAATAGAATTTCTGTCCAGAACCAGTGTTTGCAACATCTACATGAATGTTGAAATCACCTACTATGATGATTTTATCTGTCCTAAGAACTAGTTCTGAAATTCAGATACAGACTCTAAGTAAGGGGCAGGAGGACGATATATGATAACCAGATGAATTGGTTTATGTGATTTCAAGTTTGGATGAATGAGGCTGATTATCAGATTTTCAAAGGAGTTCTAATTTTCATTTAAGCCTACATGTTCTCCATCTTGCAGCCAGGTTTCTGTTAAACATAATAGATCGATTTTATGATCAGTAATCAGATCTTTAATAAGTATCGATTTTGTATTGAGTGACCTGATATTTAATAAACTGCATTTTATAATTCTCTGTTTTGTTACTAGTATATTGGCTGTGTTACCTTTCGTTTTAATGTATTACTCCTCTCCTGTTTGCTTATGGTTTATAGTTTAAATAGAAGTGCAGAGAAGCGTGTAAGACTGCGACTCTGCCTCCTGGGCTCAATTCTGGATTGTCACGGTGTGGACTGTCTAACAAGAGTTGTCATGTTTCTAAATATGAGAGCTGCTCCATCCCAAGTGGGATGAATACAGTCTCTCCTGATCAGACCAGGTTTCCCCCAAAAAGTTTGCCAATTATCTTCGAAGCCCACGTTGTTATCTGGACACCACCTCGACAGCCAGCGGTGAAAGGATGACGTGCGGCTGTACATCACTGGAAACATTAGGCAGAGGTCCAGAGAAAATGACGGAGTCAGACATTGTCTTTGCATATGTGCACACCGAATCATTATTTTTGCTGCCAACGTGAATAACAATCTTAATGTACTTACGCTTACCCTTAGCCAGCAGTTTTAAATACAACTCTCTGTCGCCCGCTCTGGCCCCAGGAAAATATTTAACTGTGGTCACTGGTGTCGCTAACTTCACGTTTCTCAGAATAGAGTTGCCAATAACAACAGTTTGTTCCTCAGCGGGTGTGTCGCTGGGTGGGGAAAATTGAGACATGAACAGGTTGGTGGTGAACCGGAAGCTTCAGTTTAGGGCTAAGCTACGGTTAGTAGGGCTGTTCAAAAAACAACTGTGAATGTGACTCCAAATCCGCTTCAGTGAGTCAGATATTAGCAGAATAGGGAGAGACGAAGAAGAGAAGAGATCAATACTCACTGCAATTCGTCAGCACGTCAGAACTTCATTTCATTCACCTTGCCTGAGATGTAACAGGTATGCAGTGAGGAGGGACCACCCACCAGTTAATGTGGAGCTCCTTCCACCATTAAGGAGCCAGTCCTCAACACCTGGTGATGAAGATGATGTCTAATAACTAATTTTTTTAAATGTTGCACTTATATGGCACTTTGTAGTTTGTCTTTTTGAAGCAAATAAGTCAGAAAAGAAGAAGATGAATTAGGATATTAAAACAAACAGTATGTCGCCGTAATGCACCTTGGTGTTGGTTGTAACCGCTAATAAATAAAATGAAGAAGATGGTAAAGGGAGTTCCTCTCCTGAAAACAGAAAACATTTTTTGTTTTTTATGTTGTTTAATTTGTCAGGTTGAATCAAACCGGTGTCACAAAGAATTGTTGCACGGACTTGTCCTCAGTCATCAGCTCTCAGTCCTCCAGTCTGACAAATCTGGACCTGAGTAACAACAACCTGCAGGATTCTGGAGTGAACCTGCTGTCGGCTGGACTGAGGACTCTACACTGTAAACTGGAGACTCTCAGGTCAGGATTCATCTGTTCAGCTATACAACAAAAGTCTTAAAAACAAAATGTATTACATCCAGTCACTGATGGTCTTTATATACAGTCAGTGATTGTCTTCATATACAGTCAGTGATAGTCTTTATATACAGTCACTGATGGTCTTTATATACGGTCACTGATCATCTTTA